ATATAATAAGAAATTTTAATTTCCTGGTTTTTAAAAAAAATTGCCGTTGAACACTTGAGGCAAGGTTGGTATGTCAGGAAGGATGACTTTCCATTATATAGTGTTAATCCATTCATCTCCACACTATCACCAGGATTTGTTAACTGCTTAGAAACAGGCACAGGGAAACCCTTGATGTTGCTGGGGGGACAGAGTGAATGGAGACTCCATTTGCCCTCTTCAAATCAATTTCATGGCAGCTTAGTCCCTAGGCTGGTAACTGACTGATTTTCAGGGGCCCTGTCTCCTGCGCCTGAGAATTTCCTTCTCAGGTGTATGTGGTGCCTCTCTCTTCTCCCAGCTCAGTTCTTGAGGGCTTCACGGCCCTGAACAGCAGGACTTGAAAGGAATCGTACCATCTAATTAAACCATTAGCACCAGTAACATCACCTGATTGACCCAAGCCCAGCAGAGATAAATGCTCACCAAGAACAAGGTACTTAACAATCACTGAGTGGCTAAATGGGAATCAGATGTTTGGGTTTTGGTGGCAAGAAGAGGTGAGCCCAGAACGCCTGGATCCCCAATTGGAACCACATGGTAATGAGGAGAGACAGCTGCCCTGAGATACAGTTGAACCTTGTCTCTATTGTTTGCCTTAGGCCAGTTGTAATTATTGATAGGAATTTCTCTCCCAATCACAGAAAGTCCAGCTAATCCATTAAAAATAAACATGGGAGGGTTCCTTGCCCTCCCCCATTATCTTCATCTCTACCTTACCATTATGATACTAATCATTTGATTTTCTCATATTTTCATTTATCCACAAACAAACGTAGCCGGCCTCTGGCCCACCTCCCACTCCCTTTGGTTTTAATAAGAAATTTTAACTCAGAGAAGGGTAGAGGACAGAGCCCACAGCACTCCCCAGCACCCTCTGTCATTTTCTGTAATGCCTAACTAAGAAGCAGCCAGACTTGTCCCCACTGAGCCAGACACGACCTCTTGGGGGACAGCATGAATGTGACAACGGCAGGCAACTGAGAGAGAGGAAAAACACGAAACCCAAAGGCAGAGAAAAGAGCTGGGCAACAGGGTGAAAAATACAGAGAACAGAAACAGCAGGAAGAGGAAGGAAAGCAAAATTGAGAAGTAAATAAGAAATAAAACTGTTTTAAAGATAGAAACCACAGCATGAGGGCAGAAAAATAGCACAGAAGGAAAAGAAAGATGGAATGGAGAAAGGAAGTCAATACCAAAACCAGGGATAGGACCAAAGGAAACACGGTCAAAAGCTAGAATTCATGAAGATGATAATAGTAATTACAACTTGGAGAGGTGCAGGGAAGAAGAGTAACAGGGTAGAAAAAAAGAAAAAATAGGAGGTGGCAGTGAAAAGAGAATTCTCATGAAAGAGATCTTGGCCACCGCTGTACAAGGAAAAACAAATGTGTTCAATGTAATTGTTTTCCCAGGGGCTGGAGGAGGCTAGTGGCTTCGCAGCCTCTATGCTTCCCTTGGTTGCCTGCGAATAGGGCACATTAGAGATGGGTTGGGACAATGTACCCCGCCCCACACCTTATGCCTCTTTCAAAGGCCCTATTCACCCAAATGGAAACTGTTGTATTTGCAATCCTGTCCTTGTCAAACCCAAGATATTGGGAAATCTAACTTTTGGAATTTCATTAAGGCTTGTTAAGCCCCAAGCTGCAGGTCTGGGACGGCCCTTTTTACAAGTTAAGTGGCAGTCGTTCCTCTTGCATTTGCCTCGGTGGTGCCTCAGTGGTTTTATGGAGCGGAAGGAGGTAGTTGTCACCCGTGCTCTGGGGGCCAAACCCCTTCCGCCTCCCGGGGAAGAGGAAAGATGCTGGGGAAGCACCAGCCTAGCTCTGCCGTCCGTACTTACGTCGAGGAAGATCGACATGCCCTTGGACAGCTGCAGGGCAGAGCTGAGCTCTTCCGAGGAGTTGTTGGAGGACGGCGACGTCTCCGGGAAATCCTCCATCCTCAGGAGCCCTGACGGCCGCGCGCGGAGCGGGGCTGGGCGCACCGGCTCGGCAAGGGCGCGGCCGCAGCTGCTGCCTCTCGGCGCCGCCGCCTCCCGGGCTCGCGATCCGAGTGTGTCGGCTCCCTCGCGCGCCTCCCTCCGCCGTCTCTGCGCCTGGTCTCCCCTCCCTCTCTCCGGCCTCCGCGCTCCCACACGCTCCAACTCTCGCCTCCCCCTTCCCTCGGCTGACGGCGCCTGGCTCGGGCTCACTCCTGCACTTAGCAACGCGGCGCCCCTTGCGGGGGAGCGGGCTCTGCCCCGGGCACCGCCATTGGCCACCGCCCGACACAGCCTGGGGCCCCTGCCCACCCCACGACTGGCCCGCGAGCGGGGAGCGGGGAGGGCGTCCCGACGGAGAGGGGGACAGATGGCTTCTGTCCTGAGCAGCCAAAGCGCAAAGGATGCCCCCAGCCCAGGCTCACCCCGAGGTGGAAACTGAGTCCAGAGAGATTCCAAGAGAGTTTGCCCTCTTTGCTTTTGGTCCAAGAGAATCTGTCTGCCCCCCTGTCCCCAAAGGCGGGTGGGTTCGTGGGATACCACCAGGGAAGGAGAGACTGGTTTCAGGTAGGGATTAAGCCATTCCATTTTGGGATCTGCCAGACCTGAGTTCCAAACCTGCCTTAGTTACTTTGTTATCTTGCAATCTAGCAAGTGATGAAATATTTAAGCCTCAGTTTTCCTCATCAGTAAAATGGTCACAACATTCACCTCGAAGTGTTCTGAGGCTTAAATGTGGTAGCGCTATGACAAAGATAGTGCTATGAACTCTGCATAAAGTACGCATCAAAAAAAAAGTTCGCTATGGGGAAAAAACTGTCAGGTAATGTCCAAGCAAGTTTTCCAAAGTCACAATAAAAACGCAGTCACCAGATAGATAATTTAAACTAGGGTAATTATTCAATATTTGAGGGTTTCTCTGTGAGGGCTGCAAAAATACTAAGTTGACCACACCTTTCGTCATTCTAAAATGCTGTAAGGTATGTCTCAGTTGCTGTGTGGATTGCACAGTTGAGCTATCTGGGAGCAAAATGAGAGGAAGAGAGGAGTACCCTGTCCAGACAAGACTCTGCCTGTGAGAACTGACAGAGAGGATCCAGATCTCCACTATCCGGCCTCCCAGGAAAACATGTTCTTCCTGTAAGACGGGTCCCCAAAGAACCATAATACGGGATGAAATGTGAGTGCCTTAAGGCATGTAAAAGGTCTATTGGTTTCTTAAGAGAGACAGTTTCTAACCTGGCTGTGAGGACCAAGAAAGGCTTGATTTAAAAGGTGATATTTGAAATGGATCTTAAGAACCAGTAGACACTCCATAATTGATAGAAGTAAAAGACATTCTAGGAACAACAGGAGCAAAGGCATGGCACCAGGAAAGCACACGGAAGCTGGCAGTCGTCCACTCGGGATTCCTGGAAACCTACGAAATCCCAGCCCCTACTCTGGGCTTACTGAATCCCAGTATCAAAGTACTAGCTAGCCCAAGAATCTTACCTAGCCTCCTCACCCTGCTGATTTATACACAGTTGCTCTGCGACAGGGCCAGACCTGGGGTGAGGCAAGTGAGGCACATTGGGCACAAAATGTAAGGAGGTGTACTCCCTCTCATGCTGCCCTGGACTTGCATGATCCTGAGAGTGACTATCGTCTTAAATTTTGCACCATATGTGTCTCCTTCACCTCACCCAAGTCCCAGCCCTGTCCTGTAGATCAGTACTTTGCAAAAAAAATGAATACAGTTGTAACTGGCTGTACATTGGAATCACCGGAGTTATGTGGCAACTTTAAATGCGGCCACAAATTCATGGACACTCTTTCTATGGAAAGCTGGTACCCTCCCCTTGAATCTGAAAGATTGTGACTGCTTCAATGAGGAAAATGAGGCCGAAGTAACGCAATGTGCCTTCTGTGGCTCGGTGCATAAAAGGCCTTGCAATTCCACCTTTTCCAGTGGACTATTTATTTGCTCCTGGAGTCCTGAGCTTCCATATAGGAAGTTTGACTACCTGGAGCTGCTCTGCTTTGAGAAAGCTCAAGCTATCTGGAGGGGCACGTGTCGTTACCTGGCTGATAGCTCTAGCTGAGCAGGGTCTCTGCATTATGCCAGCAGAAATGTCATTAAAGAAGCTTCCAGATAACTCCAGCCCCCAGCTCTTTGAAGACATCTCCAGCCATTTTAGTTGTCCCAGCCAAGATCACAAATGTCATAGAGCAGAGACACACTATTAGTGCTGTGCCTGTCAGAAGTTTTGGCCCGCAGAATTTGGGAGTATAATAAAATGTACACTGTTTTACACAAGTCTTGGGGTGGTTGGATTTATAATAACAGATAACCGAAATAAGGAGCTACTTCCCTCCACCCCAAAAAGCCCTCCAAATTGATGCCTGTGCTTCATCCTCAGATTCATATTCAATTATTAATAGCATGTGGTGGTCCCAGGGCATAAACATTATTTTTAAAAAGCTTTCCAGGTGATTCTAATGTGCACCCAGGATTAAGAACCACCGAACTTGACTATGCTATACATACAGTACAGGAAAAAAGAATATCAGAAGACATGCAGAGCCTATAGGATGAAGACCCATAAAGTTTAGGGATAGAACTTTGGACTTAATTAGGGAGAGAATTAGAGACATTAATCAAAGGAGATATTGACTGGAGCTGTGCTTTAGAAACATTTATCTGGCATCTTTGTGTGCTTTTACCTTATTCACTGCAAATTTCCTTATCTGAACTGCTAGAATAGATTCTTCCCTTTTGCAACTGTTCATCAAAAGAAATACAAAATCATTAAAAAACAGACTGGCCAACTCATCAAATGGATAATGGTCACTGAAATCACTGAAGAAGAAAAACCAGAAGGAGAAGGAGGAAGTGTACTGATCATGAACATCAAGTTACCACGTTTACCAAAATAACATATTATTTGTTCCTGCTGTTGGATGGAGGATTGAATGGATTTTTCTGCAACAAGTGCAGTTTAAGTCTGGTCCTTCAGCCCTCAAATTCAGTCCTGCAAATGGTAATATTTTTATGCCAGTCCCATGGTAACGAGAACAGGTGATGAAGAAGACTTCCTCTGATTATAAATGAAGAACAGGAGAATAATCAGTAGTCAGCATTCAAAACCAGGAAGCTGTTTGTAACACTTCAGTAAAAACATTCCTTTTCCCTTTGCCGACAAGGAATGATACTTTCTGTACCTGTGGCTTTGCTTATTTGGTCTATCAAAAAGAAATATAAATTTTTAAACAACCAACTGGTCATTATTTATTTTTATGATTCCTACATGAACACCGTGGTGCTACAGCTGACTTCTCTTTTTAGTGGAAATGTAATGCTAATGGAAGGTGCCACTAGAAATGGATGACAATTAGATTCCCATTCACAGCCAAATTCAATAGGCTCTACGAAGTGGTGACCAAACACATTTCTAGTTTTCTTTTTATCTAGACAGCATGCATTTTGAAAACTGTTTTCACACATCATTTTCCTGAAACACAGATGCTGCACTGCTGTGCATAGTATCAGTTGTAAACAGGAGACAGCAGACTTAAGGGAGGAAATGCATCTTCCTACCAACTTTGTAACAAGGGCTTGGAAAAAAAAAAAAGGTATGTAATTCTAGATTCCAGCTCTCAGGCTTCCTATGATAAGACTTTGACAGGAAGGTATTTCTAGCATTTCAGAAGATGATAGCTGTGTGGGAATGTATTGTATTTCAATCTATCTGTGCCTCATGGAGGAACTATTATCTAAACCATTTCAGACAGCCAGGAATCTATCTTATTTATATTCTAAATTCTAGGGAAGGTTATCCTTCTGACAATGACTCAGAATCCTTTCTGTCAAGTTAGTGGACATTTCTGTTGCTTTGGCAGCCTAGGATCCAAACCCTCTTCCTCTCTAGGTGCCTGTCCCCATGGTGTGGGTCCTGATTGGAGGCAGGACCCACCTCTTCTTCAGGGAAGGAAGACGGTCCCTCTCCCTCTCCCTCTCCCTCTCCCCTGGTGGCTGGAGTACCAACAGAGACCTAGGCTCAGTCAATATGACATTTCACTTGGGCCTTATATCTAGATCAATGGACATGAAGGGAAATTTATTAATGGCAGTAGGCACAATGCAGCAGAGCCCTGAAGGTGACCTAAGCAATTTGATAAAGGCACTTTATGATTTCAGCAGCCCTGTCCTCCAAGCTTGATCTCCAGTGTTTGCATTGAATTCCCAAGAGACGTGATATCTTTTCTTTTCTGTTTTACCTTAGGGTTAGCTTTTGATGTTTGATCTCTGACTAATATATTCAGTCTGAATGTCTCCTGTTAAAGAGGGATATTTGTGAAGTCACTGGAAAAAACTGGTTAAAAAATTTAATTCTCTTCAGACATTTGTTGAGTGCCTGCTTCATTCCAGGCATAGCTGGAGAAATGATGAAAAAAACTGGTCCTTGCTTTTACAGAGCACACACTACCTAAGGAGACTCTATTTTAATAGATAATTTTAATGCAGTGAGACAGGAGTAACACCAGAGGTTTGCAGTGAAGGCTGAGGGGGGATAGAGGAAGAGGCTGCTTCTCCCCATTAGTGCCTGTTCTACATGACCATTTATGTAACTGTAGATGGCAAAATTAGGACTTGAGAGTAGTAAGTGCCATGGACCAGAATTATTAGTTAATAATGGCTATTTTCCTATGAGCTTTTACCCTGAGAATAAAATTTTTCTGGCATGCCACTATGTGAGTAAAATAAAACTCCCATCTACTGGCTTACTCAATTTAGAGCACTTCCATCTTGAAACAGAAAAAAAAAAAAAAAACTCTAAACACTCTAAACTCCTCCTTGGACCCTATTTGTTATTATATTAATTGTTAGTATTCTCTCAATCTTTCTCATGGGCAAAATTCCTCATCTGATAAAATAAAGTTGAAGAAAAACGCTGAGGCAAGATGGTGGACCAGAAGCAGCCCACACAGGTCACTCTCCGGGAGAGGATAGAACATTGCAGGTGGATGCCCACCTATGGATGGGCCTTCTTGAAAAAAGCACTGGAGAAATGATGGGGGACATTTGGAGTGAAGGAGAAGGTGATGGAGTAATCCACTCAGCAAGATCAGAATGTACTTGGGGGAGGCAGCCACCTGTGAGGAAGAATGGGAGGAGATAACCTTGGGGCACCACTCTCCGCCAGGAGCACTG